TCCTCAAAGTAGGTGAACAGCTCAGCGAAAGATGTTAGTGCACTCCATTTACTTCAGAGTTGCTTGTTTGGTCAGTATGATTTAGATGTGTATTGTTAGGTATGGCGGGGCTCTGTCCTGGCCTTTATGACCATTATGTATCCTTAGAGGCTTGTAGACAGTTATCATGTACGTAAATGATTGTATGGCCTTGTCGGCCTCTGTTCGATGTACGAGTGGTTATTTTGGTCTTAAAGACACATATGTCTTATGTATAAGTTTGGATTACATGTTGGGGCGTCCAACATCGAGTATTTCCCTATGTTTTATTCTACTTATCTCACGACATCCTCTATGGCGCATTTACCTATAATAGTATGATACGAAAAGATACGTTATTTTAGTACTTGGTTGAGTAAGGTACCGGGTGCCCATCGCGGCTCATCAGTTTGGGTCGTGACAAAAGTGGTATCAGAGCAGTTCTGTCCTAGGGAGTCTACAAGCCGTGTCTAGTAGAGTTTTGTTTATGGGTGTGTCGTGCACCACACTTATAAGCAGGAGGCTACAGGGCATTTAGGACTGTCACTCTTTCTTCTTACTCTAGATCGTGTGGTAGATCTCAGTTTTAAAAATTCGAACTCCTAATCTCTATTTGATTAGTAATACGACTATACCTACATCCAGAAAGACAATTGGTAAGAGGTTGCATGTGGATGTGGAAGTATCGAGTTATAGGAACTCGATTTTTCATGATGCTTATGATGAGTTAATGTAAGGTCTTCAGTAGATCATGTGCGTACTAAGACGTGTAAGCCTTTTGACAAGGAGCCTTATGGCAGGAATATCTATCCACCCCTGTGGTCAAAGATAACGAGAGATTCATAAGATAGATACAAATTTCAACAAGTAAAAGAAGCAAGATGAAGAGGGGTACGAGGTACCTAGTTAGTGAAGATGATCATTATTTACAATTCAGGAAAAGAGATATGAGCATTTTGAGTCACTTTCAACAGTAACAAAGGTATGTACAATCAGCTACATCCATCTTAGTTATGCCATATGGGGGCTAACATGTGTAGTTTAAGAGAGGAATAGAATATCAGGATCTGGCTGGGGTTAGAGTAACCCAAAATAGTGAATGGATTGTTTGCATTAGTTGTCGTTTCGGAAGGACATTACAAACATATCAATAGATTTTCTTGTGAGACACCCAGATGGTGCACTATAAAATAGTACAACCAGATATGAGTACTACAACGATAGGCACTGGAAGACTTGAAGGGACAAACATTATGGTAGTGTGGCTTTCTCCCCTAGTAGAGAAAGAATGTTAGGCAATTCGAAGAGCCAATGGATGGAGCAAGTGGAGCTAAAAGCGAAAGAATGTCTTGTTTGAGTTTTCAGAATAATGTAATAGACATAGGTGTTAATGGGAAACAAGAGGAGAGTTAATGAAGAATTATGAGTAAGATGTGATGCATGGATGACAACGTTAGGTAAAAAAATGACAGTGTTACAGAGTCTACAGTCAAGTGAAGGAAAAGATGAAAGGTGACAGGCCTTGAGACAACAAAAGAGTATAGGCCATAAAGTCATATCATCATTTCAAGGAATAAGTTTGTGACCCCAACGCAACTACCAAAAGGAATGAGATTGCACTCATCTGAATCCTATAGATATGCTATGATTCCAGAACAGTATGCAAACACAACATCAAGGAAAGGAAGTAAGGGTTACTGCCCGGGATGTTATTGATAAATAAGGAGCCGCTGCGAGAGGTAAGTTAAGACAAGGAAATAACCCAAGAAAGATTACAGAGAATATTGATATGAGAATAAGCTAACGAGTAGTTAATAGTTGATTCAGGAGGAGCCTAGTTATGGCCAGACAAGAGGTTGCCAACAAATCAACAGATCGTGCAAGATAAACATAGGGAACCCCAACATGGGGAATTATTCCTTGCAGTTATGACATCGTGACCCTTAAGAAATATTCAGATGGGAGTTGGGATAGTTAAAGGTACCGTATAAGTATTACGAAAATAAAAGAGAGTGCCACTTGGAAGACAGTAAAAAAATATCAATTCAGAAGCAGCTCTACAAGCATAAGGGTATAGAGGTAAGTAACTACGAATAATTATAGGCAATGAAGGACATCAAACGGGTCCGTAATAAGCTCACAGCTTTACAAGAGTCAAGGGTTCTACCTAAGTACTACAACAAAAGACTAGCTGAGGAAATAAGGAAGAAGGCTTCAACCTAAGCACAACGACCTAAAGAGGAAATGCTTGTGTAACAAAAATCTCACAACAACATTGTAAGCACTACAAAGGAAGTGGTACCTACCGTGGCTAATGAACGGGAAGTAAAATTAAAAGTAATATTCGAAATCACATGAGTTGCATGAAAACTATGGTATGCATGGAAACTAAGATAAGGTAAGTATGTATGCAACAAGGGGGCAGAAAGACCATAAAAAATAATAGCTTACGTTAAAGAAAGCTAAGAAGGAACGAAAGGAATTATTTGACCAATGATCCCGAGATGGTGACATTATGAACGCACTTAAAAAGTTTGGAGTTTTATACCTGCAACATATATAGAAGTAGAAGATTCTAGTATACGTTAAAAGAAAGAATTGAGCCTAGGCCATAGACAAAAGATTGAATTGTTAGAAGATTGTATTATGGATATTCCATAGCGTCTATGAAAGGCTAAAGTAATAACTAATATCAGGAGCCGCAGGTCGGAAGATAGCTTAAGCCTACATAAAAGCCGATCAAAAGGAAGAGGAAACTATAGAGTTACAACAACGAAATAAATTAGGAGTCTGATTATTGGATCTAGAAAAGTATAGAAATTGTGCTTCAGAACATGGCAAAATCACTCTTAGATATCAAAGGTGCAAGTATTATAATAGAACTTCAAGTTGTTGATGTAAATTATACCTATGTGGAAGGAAGGTCATGAAAGAGATAGAATATGTGATGCGAGATTTTAAGGTAAGTAAGGTAAAAGTAAACAACGTACGAGATACTCAGATGCAGAAGATTGGGAATAGTTCATACTTCGGATAGAAGGCTAGAAGTACTGGAATTTAGTATCGATAGCGGCATCAACAATGGCATACCTTCCAGCCTATGGTTTCTAGGTATTGAGAGATTTAATTATAAGAGTGAAGAAGAGTTTGAGACGATATGATGTCTCACTTGATGTTCCAGAAAAGTATAAAAAAATAGTCGCAAGCTAAAGTATGATAGAGAGACAAGGTTTTAGGAAGACATGAGTAAGGATAAGAAATGGCAAGTGAGAAGCTGACAAAAATGGATAATTCCTCGGGGTTAAGCCCATGAAAACAAGAGAGTTGTGGTTTCTCTAAGTTATACAAAGCTCAGTATAGCCTGAATGTACCAAAGGTAGTCTAAGACTAGTAGCATTTGGAAGAAATGGAATGTTGCCCTGGCAGTAAAATAGGGGTGTAATTGTGACGGATAAAGGATGACGTTTGGGCCTTCGATTGATTAATGATTTGAAGAGGATTTCATGAATTGTACGGGATTAAAATACCCACATAATGTAAATCACATTGGGATACTTAAATATGGTTATGGAAACATGGTATCTCCCCTAGGTGGATCGGTCCAATCACTTCAAATGTTCCTCAATGAGACGTAAGCCCTAGTCGCAAGATATTACGTAAGAAGTTTTAGTTATCAGTGGTGGATTGTAGATCGATATTGAGGTCAATCAACAATGGTTGGATAAAAGTTACAAAGTATGAAATGAGGTTAGGTCGTCACTCTTAAGATGAACAGTAATGATGAAGCATTAAAGGACTTAGACTTATGCATATAGGATAAGCAATGAGAGTAAGCAGGAATTTGGTAACAGACCTCAGCAACGATAAATCAAAGTAAGAGTTATGGTATAGTATGACCTACGTAGATGCAGTAAAGTCATACGAATAGATAACCAGGTCTATAAAATAAGATATAGCAATATTCATAAGTTCTACAAGGTACCGAGCAAAGAACTTCAGTATACCTATAAATTCCCAGAGAGACATCTTATTAAGCTCTGTATATTTTTACAAAGTAAGACCTAGAGAATGGTTAAAAGCTGGAGGAAAAAGGAGAGAAGAGTCGCATAGGCACACTTACAAGGTCAGTATCGTAAAGGCTGCATGATAGAAGGTAGCAACAGTTAAGAGCTTGGAAGGATCTCCATCATAAGTCATGGTATGGGAAAGAGGCCTAAAGGGGGGAATGCTCTGGCCTTTGGATTTGTTCATATAACAGTTGCCTAGATGCCAAGGAGAGTACCAAAGTATTCGCAAGAGCTATAGGTTATAACAAAGATAAGTCCACCAGTCAACATTCGAGGACGAATGTTCCAAAGGGAGGAATGATGTTACACCCATATTTTTGTACGTGAAAGTACGCCATAAGTAAATTGGTGGAAGCTTGGAAATGAGAAGATGTTACGTCCCGCATTTTCGTACGTTAAAATTTATCCGGAAGGAATATTAAGATTATAAGCATTATGCTATTTCAAATAAGTGATGAATAAATTTGTGAAAGTGAAGGGGTAAGCAAATCAAAGAAAATGAATTTCGTCGAAGTTTGACATTTTAGAAAAAATACGGTCTGAGCTAAAATACCCGGTATTAATGAACTAGTACCATACAAGATACCACATGGTCATGATAGTAAGGTGTATAAAGTATATTAAAAGTAAGTAATATTTTAAGTACATGGAGATAATTCTTAATTACATGGGTAATTGGTTAATTATTGGTTAATGGGGATTAATTAGTTAAATAAGATAATTAAAAAAAGAAGAAGAAGTAAAGTAAGTCTTTAAGATAAGCCTAAGGGCAAGAACGTGGCAGCCCCACTTTAAATTAAGATGACTCTTAAATCTTGCCTAAATATCACACTTTGGAGCATCTAAAGTGGCTTAGTCATCCTAAGTAGAGCCCACTTAAAGATAAAGGTCACATTCTTTGATTTAAAATGAAAGGTTACCTCTCTTAAGCTTAAAGTGAATTGCTCAAAATGTAGTGACGGGCTGCATATAGTCTCTGTTTGCAAAGATAATATGATATTACTCTTTGGATGGGAATCAAAAGCAGAGAAAGTAATTTAGGAGGATCAAACAATAACTTCATTTGTATTGTCCATGGACAGTAAGTATTTATTAGTTAGTCTTTGGAATCAAGAAATTCATCTTTGGAATATAGAGGAAATTGTAAAGCTCATATTCAAATATAAAGGGCATAAACATTCACGCTTTGTTGTAAGGTCTTGCTTTGGCGGACTGGATCTAGCATTCGTTGCAAGTGGAAGTGAGGATTCACAGGTTTATATATGGCATAGAAGCAAATATCCCTTACATAGTAACATTCTCTCTGAGAGTCCAAGCCTCCTTACATAGTTATATTGAATCATTTTCCAAAAAATCTTCTTGGATAGAAACGTTATTGCTAAGTTTCTAAGGAAAAGTTTCGGCCAAGGTTTTCTTTGCATAGCAACGTGATTGCTTCGAGCTTTTCACACGACTTGTTCCATGTTTTGCCGCAATTAACATGTGTTAGAGGATTGTCAAGAGAATCGACTCAAGTATGTTAAGGCTATCCCTTCTTTCTTTTGGCATGATCCATACGACACAAACGAAACGTGCAAATGCACAATTTCCATACATGACTCTATTCATAGAAATATTAGAGATACTAATGTTCTTGATTCTCCATGTGTCATATTATTCTATCATCTATTTATGGGTCTCAGAAAATACGTAAGTTGATAAAGTTTATTTTATGATATTAATCAGAAGCATAATGGTCTTATGACGTACCGAGAGATTTTATTAACATATTTCATATGCATTTCATGCATTTATACATGCACATTGACCCATGACAAGATGGCGTTATATACGCGTATATATATATGTATATGGGATATGGGAAAAGTTATGGCGTTATATACGTATCACCACCTGATCAGCTGGTATACGTTGACGATTTTGCCCACAGTGGCCGAGATGATGTGATGGGATGCCTTCAGAGGCTTGATGATGTTATGAACACATGTACCTATGCACAAACATGACATTCATACGTATATGAATGACACTATAAGTACTTTATGATTTACAAAGTTATTCAGACTTAGAGGTTGAGTCATTTACTCTATATTCCTTTCATGTCTTTTACGTACTTATTTATGTGCATTACATACTCGGTACATTATTCGTACTGACGTTCCTTTTTGCCTGGGGACGCTGTGTTTCATGCCCGCAGGTCTCAATAGACTGGTCAAGAGTTCTTAAAGTAGGTGAGCAGCTCAGCGGAAGATGTTGGTGCACTCCATTTGCTTCGGAGTTTCTTGTTTGGTCGGTATGATTTAGATGTGTATCGTTTGGTATGGCGGGGCTCTGTCTTGGCCTTTATGACCATTATGTATCCGTAGAAGCTTGTAGACAGTTATCATGTACATAAACGATTGTATGGCCTTGTCGGCCTCTGTTCGATGTACGAGTGATTATTTTGGTCTTAGAGACACATATGTCTTATGTATAAGTTTGGATTACATGTTGGGCCGTCCAACATCGAGTATTTCCCCATGTTTTATTCTACTTATCTCACGACAGCCTCTACGGCGCATTTACCTATAATAGTATTGTGAGCACCTAATTTTTGACAATATTTAATTTTTTTGTCACTTCTTCTATGTAAATATTTTAGGGGTTTTAACCTACAATTTTTCGTTTTGTTACACTTTTTATTATAGGGTAAAAATACAAAATTTTAAAAGGTGAATTATTACTATTACTATTATTTTATTTTTTATTATTATTTTAAAAAAATCCGAAAAATATTTTAAAAAAAAATTAATTTTCGGGTGATATATAAAAAATAAGAAAAAGGGAAGTATGGAATAAAAAAAATAAAAGTAAAAGTGGGTGGAATTCTCTTTTAAAAAGTAAAAGAAAGTGGAAAATTAAAAGTAAAGTTTTGTGAAAATTTTAAAAAAAATAAAAAGTAAAGAAAGTTGGAATTAAAAAATAAATATAAAGGTAGCTGAAAATTAAAAAACATTAAAGTAAAAGAAAATAGATTTTTATAAGAAAAGCAAAAGAAAGTGGATTGTTTTTTTAAGAAAAGTAAAATAAGTGGAATCCTCTTTTAAAAGTAAAAATAAAGTGAGATTTTAAATAAGATAAAAGTAATTTTAGTTGGAATTTAAAAAATAAAAGTAAATGAAGGTGGGATTTATTTTATAAAAAAGAAAAGCAAATTGTAAGAGGGATTTCCGCAAGACCTAGCTATTGATGTCAATTCTACCCCAAAAATTCGGCGACCAAAATCCGGCCTAATTCCGACGACCTCCCGGAACACCCTCTTTGGCATACCACCATTTTTTCGTCCTTTTGATGTGTAAAATGGTAAAATACTATTCTTTTTCATGGCTGATTTTTTTATTTTTATTTTTAATTTTCAGATTTTATTTTTGTCTATTATTAATTATTTTAGCATTAGTTTTTGAAGTTTGAAATGTTAAATTTTCTGTTTTGCACTTGTTGAAGTAGTAAAATAGTTTTATATTGATAAAAGTGAGGTAATGAAAAATACTTAAGAGTATATGGTACTTGTTTGGTTGTTTGTTTACTGCTTAAAGACTCTTTGAGTACAACACTCAAAAGTCAAATTGTTTGGTAAGAAAATGTAGACCTTTGGACATTATTTGAATAAAGTCTATCTTTGAATAGTGGAGAGCAGATTTTGTTTGAAATACTTGACAAGATTTGAGCTAGAAAGTCTGGCTTTTTGAATTTAAGAGCAGATTTTATAGAAACATCTGTCAAAAAGATTGATTTTTAATTTTTTGAAATAGCTGGTTGTTTTGATATATAGAGGGGGCATTTTTTATAATTGCTTTGTCACAAAAACAAAAAAAAATCAGCAGTTGAACACATGAAAAGTAAGCTGAAATGGTGAGCTTTGGGAGTGAATCTTAGAGTGCAAACTTTTAAAAAAGTATAATTCTTCTTTAGAGTTCGTTTCTGAGTTCCCTCTCTAAGTTTTCGGGTTGTTTTAACACGGATTTGCTGCTGGTTTTGCTGCTATTTTGCTGTTGTTTTTATGCTGCTTTAGTTGCTGAACTACTGTTTATTCTTTTGCTACCAAGTAATCCTTTAAGACTCGTAATGTACGTATTTTCAGCAATGGGAACAACTTGAACATGCTGCACCATTTAAATGTGTTTGATGTGATGAATAGTTTGACAACAAAAGAGCTTGTATGTTATTGTTATGTATCAAGCATGTGATAATGTGAATATAGTCCTTCATAATACTTGAATATTGAGTTGTAAGTTTTTGAATGTGATATGTAAGTCGTTTATGGATTTTTTTAAGCATGTTTTCAAGCTATTATATCCGAGTAACAATGCTAAGTATGCCATGAATGACTTTAGGTGTATAACACATAGCATGAGTTCGTTTTAGTTGCTGAAATTTCACTGCCAACATATGCTTCTAGGAATGCTGTGATAATATCTTTGTGAATATGGCCATTTTTCCGGATTTGCAAAAAATGGCTATTTTTGTAAAATGGGCGTTTATACAATTATGATTATGTAGTTAATGGTCATGAACTCAAACTAAGTAAAGAGCAAAGATTGTATCAACTTTGGGCCTTATTGAATCAAAGATAAAAGTTGGTCCATTTACCTTTAAACAAAAAAATTACCCCTTTTCTTCTATATAGCATTGGGCCAATTTAAATTCATTTCTTGGCCCATTTTAATAATAAATTCCAGCATCCCAAAAGCTCCATACAAGCTGGCCCATTTTTTTTGTAACAAGAAGTTGGTTCATTTCTTTTTAAATAGATAAAGTTGGTCCAACATTTATTTGCATAATTTTTCCCAACTATAAAGCTCGAAAAAATAATAATAATATCAGATTTTTCTACTATTTTAATTAACTAGTTTCCCTTTAATTAATTTAAATGTTAGGCAAATAGTAGGTGCGTTTTAACTTCACGGACTCACTTGTGTAGCGTTACGCTTAACTTTTAATAATTTAATTCATCAATTTCATGTCATATTCAATAGTTTTAATTAATTTATAAATCTTTTGTGATAATCACGGATTCGCTTGCGTAGCATGGTAGTGACATTTAATAAATTTTCTGAAAAAAAGAGGGTTAATGTTTCCTCCAACACAATTGTAGCAATTTTTCAAAAGTAAATAACGTGCTAACAATCGTCTGTCATGATTGCGGATTCGCTTGCGTAGCGCCGTTATGACTAAATAATAAATTTCGTCGATCACGCATTCGCTTGCGTAGTGTGGTTATGACATCTTATTATTCAAAAATATTCTTTAATTTTTTCTAATAATCAAGAGATAAAAGAGGATAGGTAAAACATGAAAATAATATAAATCATAGTTTGTCCAAAATTAATTCAAGCCAAGTTTATGTCAATAAAGCGACCGTGCTAGAACCACGGAACTCGGGGAATGCCTTATACCTTCTCCCTGGTCAACAGAATTCCTTACCCGAACTTTATTTTCGCGGACCGATTAAAATAGAGTCAAACCTTCCTTTGACTAGGGATCCAAATAAATGGTGACTTGGAACACCGAAAAAATCAATTCTAAGTGGCGACTCTGAACAATAAAATAATCCCTATTCAAATTTTGTCACTTTAATTGGAAAAACTCTTTGGCCCATACACATATTATTATTATTTTGAGGGGTAGAAAAGGAGGTGTGACAGCTCTGGCAACTCTGCTGGGGACAACCAGAATTCGATCTTGTACATTTTGACTTTTATTTGGCTTTATTAATTTTGTATATATTGTGATTTATATGTGCCTATTGTGCTACCTGTTTGCTTTATACTGCTTCGATATTGTTGAACTGTACATATAAACTGTCTTCTCACGCACCCCTCTGAGTCTTCTTGAAATTAAAAATAGGGCATTTGCTTTACATAGCCCGCTTTCTTTGAGATAGCAGAGGTGCTTGTCACCCGGTGAAGGATTTTAGTCACACATGTTTTAGGCGGGGAGCATCACCAGTTAAGCCGGAAAGCAATGCTACCGGTACACTGACCCTCCTCGGCTCGAGTTGTCCGCTCGAGTAAGCCAGTCTAGATACCTTCTTCAATAGGATTTAAACCTAGCAGAACAAACCTCATGCCGGATATCCCTAGTAGGTTCGCTGTATTTGCATCACGTGCATTTGACTTAGTGAAACTCGGCACAGGGGCCAGGTCCGTATAAGACAGGTATCCTCTTTGAGACCATCATGTTCACGTATGTGCTACTTGATACATCATTTGGAAGGCTTACTTGCATTGTCGACCGGTTAAAAAAAAATAGTTAGTGTAATTATTGAAAATTAAAAAAGAAAAAAAGAAGAATAATTCTCCTCGTTTAGTGCAAATAAACCTTTAAAAAAAGTGTGGTTTGAGTTGTAAAGATCATTTTTCATTAAATAATATATATATAAGGGAAAAGTATCCAGTTTTTACCGAACTACGCGGGTCTGATTCTCATCGGATGTGAGATACGTAGGCAAACCTCATCAGTTCCGGCCCCCAATTTTCAAAGGAAAAAAAATTCAAATATATTTCCCTTTACTTCCTTCTTCAGAAAATAATTTTTTAGAGACCCCAATTTCAAAAAATCAAAAAATAAAATTCAAAAATATTTTCTTCTTTTTTCTTTTATAAGTCTTTCTTCCACAAAAAAAGAAATTTTAAAAATGAAAAAACAATCTTTTTTTTAATTCTTTCTTTCAATAATTCCAAAAACAAAATGAAAAAAATCGAATTTCAAAAAAAAAATCGCTCTTCTTTAGAAGTCTCACTTTCAACAATTCAATAAAAAATTAAAATCTAAAAAAAATCTTTCTTCTTTTGAATCCTTTCTTTCTACCAAAAAGAAAAAAAATCCAAAATTATTTTCCTTGTTAGGAGCTTTCGTAGAGTTATTTGTATATGAGTAAAAAAACGAGAATTAGTTTGTGTACTTTATTCCTGATTTTTTTTTGAACTACGTAATGATCTGATTCATGCGGCGTCATGATACGTAGGCAATCCCCATCGGATTCGATCATAACCATAGAATTAACTGAGGAAAAAATAAACTAAAAAAAAAAAGAAAAAAAAGAGAGTGACAAAAAATAAAAGAGTAACCAAAAAAAAAGAAAGGAGAATGCCAAGAAAATAAAAAGTGACAGAGACGAAAAAAATCAAGAGTGATTAAATAGAGGTAGGAATAAAAGTGGTACATACTTAAAGGGTTAGTTAAGGCCGGGATGAAACATGCAACCGTTCAAACACATGGTAGAAATGTTTAACTATTAGGTGCATTGCATCCCCAACGTGTGATTTCCTATGTGTTAAATGTCTCAAAACTAACCAGGTTGTGATGTGAGCAAATTAGTCAGGTTCTGTTCAGGTGGTTGATTTTGTTGGTATGCAGTGATGAACGCGCAACCTTGCACGCGGCCACAACATTATACACAAAACTGAGCTCCACCTCCCAGAAATGCACATCCTTACCCAACTCCATATAATCCCCAACCAAATGATCTCCGATACAATCCTCGCCTAAGAGAGCCTTTCAGAAAGAATCAGTTCACTCCTATTGGTGAATCGTATTCAAGCTTGTTCC